ATTGGGTATAATCATGATACATACTGCTTGAAGTCTGTGTTTCAGTTATTTATTCATGGGTGACATTTATTTGTGGTATCAGTGTAAAATAATATTGTTTCATCTTTTAAGTTTGGTTAATAAAATCAACAGGAGGATTACACACACACACACACACACACACACACACACACACACACACACACACACACACACATTACATTTTAAGCTGGCAGCTGAAAATTTTAATTATATCAACTGAAAATTGCCTGATGTGGTTTTCTGATTAAAGATGCAAATGTTTGGATACTGGCTTAATTACAAATGACATCATACAGTTTTCTAGTACTAAAGTAAATATATACATATGCATGTAGGTATATAATTCGAGGTTATAAACATATTTTTGTAATTTTACTTATTTGAATTTTATACATTTTATAAAATTTATAGAATTAAATGGTACATATATAAAGGAACCAAGTAGAAATAGGGCTCAGTGGAATTTTTTTTTCTAGCAGATACTTTTCAGTAAAAGATACGTGCAACGTTTATATAACCAGAGGAATACTTAGCTAAACATAATTTTCTGACTTACAGACATATATCATGTGGATTTTCAGCATGTAAAGAGGACTCTGGCAACAGCAGGACAATAAAAATCACATCACTGGCAATTTACAAGGTCTAGTTTTCCAGCAGTGGTTTTAAGAGCATGTGAGCCATATGCATTTGTTAGTTTTGTAGCCTCTTTATTGTTATTAGCTTAACCTAGTGTGGGAGAAAACATCAATAAACACCATAGTGAAAACAGGTCAATTCTATAAGCCTAAACAAGAGTCACCACATCGTGGACACTCAAGGCTAGAGGATGTTTCAAGTGCTAGAAACTGTCAGCACCTCCCTGGCTCAGTTTACAAAGAAATAACTCACTTTTTCCTTTTTTTGTTTGTTTTATTCTAAAATTAAAAGATTTGAAAATCTTGTTCATTTCAGTTTTCCAAACAAGAATGTGAAAGTAGCTGGAAACTTTAGGTCCTTACTATATGTGTCCATGGTCAATATCACTCAATAATAAATCAAAACCAAGTGCATTTTAGGTAATAAATCAGGAAAGATGTGGCTGCAGTAATGGTTACAGCTGTCATTCTTTGTCTGAAATGGTGTTTCACGACAGGTTTAGCAGGGCCAACTTTTCAATGACATTTACTTAATGTGTATGAATGTTTTGCCTACATATATGTATGTACAATACACGTGTGTATGCTTGGTGCCTGCAGATGCCAGAGAACATTAGCTGAACTACAACTGAAGTTACAGTTATGAGCCACCACATGGCATGGAAAACTTAAAAAAAAAAAAAAGCTGTCTTCTTAGAGAATCCTATCTTATAAATAACTGCTTTTTAGAGGACTAACCACCCTTATGATGAGTTACCCTTTGGAAATGACTTGGCTCAATAATATACAAGGCTCTTGTATAGAATTAGAAGTAGCCATTCACAGGAATATAGCCAGACCTATGTATCTACAATTCACACCCTTGGATTCAACCAAGGATCAAATCTATCCAGAAAAAAAAAATTGCCTGGATGACATGGGTGTTGGGTAGGGAATTCTTATACACTATTGGTATGAGCGTAAACTTATGCAGCTATTTTGGACATTAGTCTGGAGGCCTCTCAAAAAATTAGAACTAGAACTACCATATGACTCAACTATAGAACTCCTGAATATATAAGCCAAAGGACTTTAAAGTCTATTATGGAGATACTTGCACACTCATGTTCATTGCTACTCTATTTGTAATATGTAGGAATAGAATAAAATTAGATGTCCATCTACTAATGAATACATAAGAAAAATGTGGGATACATGTACACAACAGAATTTTATTCAGATGTTAAGAAAAATGAAATTGCAGGCAAACGGATCAAACTGAAAAAAATACTGAATGAAATAAGCTAATTAAAAATATAATTAAGGAAAAAAAGGAGTTCAACTAGAGGCTGATAAGGGTTGACAATGCTTCTCCCACAAGACATGGGATATTAAAAGAAAATTATTATTACTTGGCATGTGATACCTCCCTGAGTTATTGGTCATGGTGCCTCCAGAGACTCACAAAATAATTTAGGCTCTTGCCGCTGCTCTTGGTTGTCCCCCACTGTATGGTAAGACCCTCTTGCTGAAGACACCATGTATTTTGGCTGGAAGACATAGAGAAACCAATCTTGAACTTACTGGGAAATGCCATCTCTGCTGGCTAGCTTTCATAGAGCCTGAAGGTGCTATGTAGGCTCTAGTGAGAGAAAGATGTCAATGGTCTTACTCAGCACTGGACCTTGCGTGTTACACAATATGGACCTCTCAGGCAAGATATTAATACTGATGCAATGGTGACACATGGAGGTCACCAACATCTTTCTGAGTGTTGATTTTCGACATGTTCAGAGGAGTCTTCAAACCAATCCCCCATGGATGTCAAGGGACAAACAGACCTGTACTTCATAAATCAGAAATTCTTTGAAGTAAAAACAGGGCATCTGTAAACTGGACTTTTGTGGAACCTCTTGGGCATTCTAGTGAGTAAATTAAGCTGAAGGCTTATTTTCTAGCTATGACAAAATAGTAGAATTCTGAACTTGGTTTCCATTGCCTGTAGAAGCAACACCTGGAAACCAACACACAGCATGGTATCCATCAGAGTCAATATTATCTTTTACCATAACCCTGTGTCCTTGGTAGATATGAAATTCCTCACAACTTCTTGAATTATTTAGTCCACAATCAGTGTATTGTGTCACTCAAAATCACCAAGTTTTAAACATGGGAAAGAAGAAACTATAATAGTTGAAGAAGAAGGTGTTTTAAAAGTAATTATATACTTATTCTTCCACAAGGAATTGATATTCAAGTGTAGCTGGTTGATTTTGCTCAGAAAAAAAAAATGCGTTGCGAGCAACCCAAGAACCCTACGCTCTTGTCACACCAAATTGAGAGCTGTCACAGACTTTTCTTTTTTATCTCATAGCCAAAGTCAACCACATGACCTTAATTATTCATCCTATGGAAAAATACATGTTTTATGGGTCAGACACAGACATAATTCAAGTGTTTTTTTCAGTTTGCAATACTGAAAAGGGTCAAACATTTAATGTATAGTAAATAGTAATCAAAGCATAACTTTCTAAGCATAAAGGTGATTACATGAATATTAAATCTGACTATAAACTGTCAGGATTATGATTCTCATTAAAACCACTGCCTTTTCTCTCTGATGCTTATTTCTTTCTATCGTTTTTAAAGTAGTCTCCATTAATGTTCCCACCTTATGGTAGAAGGGACTGCTTGAATGCATCACTCAATAAACATGAGGAAACAGAAGGAAAATCTTAGGAGCAAAATACACTGAATGTGTGTTCTTTTTAAATGTTTGACTAGCATATATTAATTATACATAATAATGGATTTTATTATGGCATTGTGATGCATGTACATAATGTATTTTCTTCATATGCAGTCTGTGAGAATCTGTTTATTACCACAAAATAACCAGCTATATTCAGAGAAAAAAACATAACCAAGTTTTAAGGATATTGGTGACTAAATTATAGAAAGCATATTATGCCTTGCTTAGTTTCACTTATTTCTACAGATAAAATCCTACTAACTAACCAAAAAATACATAGAAATAAGACCTAAAGACATGGCCTGATAATAACCATTATTCTAAGCAAAAAATATTCTAAGCAAAAAAATATTCAAGGGATTTCTAAAAGATACACTTAAAATGGTTATAATTTTAATGGATTTTTTCCCTCAAGTGCATGGTTATTATATGGCTCTCTCTCTCTCTCTCTCTCTCTCTCTCTCTCTCTCTCTCTCTCTCTCTCTCCCTTCAGTGAGGGAAAGTAATTACCATGTAGCTTACAACATATGTAATTTGTCCTGTAATTATAGAAGACACTCATTGTCTCTCTCTATAAATACTTATAGGAGAGGCAGATAACTGATTGCTGCCAAGCAAGCTGCACACAAGCAATGCGGGCTGATTTGGGACCCCTTTTCCACAGGCTCAAGCTGTGGATTTGTCAAGGAAATATTGTTTAAATGCTTTTCAAGGACTACAAGACGACTTAGTGATTATTTCGTAGAGTAAAACACCGCTTAAAGGTATGAAATGCCGAGTTCAATTTGGTGAGAGTGTGATATGATGACACTTGGGTTACAGGGATGATGTCTGTCCTTGGTCCCTCAAGGCCCACAGTCTGCCAACATCCATCTTCCTTTGAGCCCCAGGGTACCCATGTCCGTGGACCACAACCACCTGACTGTCTCTGCTTGCTTCACTAGCAGGAGCTCAGGGCTGAATGGGGGTACTTCTTGCCAAGGTTCTCACGTGGGACTGACTGCCTTGGAAAAAGCGTTTCCTTGTCTGAAGCCTTCCCCACACTTTTCTCTGTCTTTGCATCTGTAACCTTGTGGCATTGATAAAAGTGTCTGCTGAAGGGGGACCCAAGGCCTTTAAAAGTTTTGTGAATGAGTTTCTTATACATCATTCGTACTTTTTAATCACCCCTTTAATTAAACCTTTTGGAATAATTCTGATTTTAGTGTGTGCTGTCTTTTCTGTTAGCTCTTTAAAAAAATTTTTTTCTTAATTTCCCCTTAGGAAAACTTCCACTAATAAACCAGTGTCCATGCTAACAAAACTTTTAGCCAGAGACATACTCATAGTGGACCAATGGCACCATAACATAAAAATACAATGTCCAATAAGTATTTGCATATTTTACTATAAATTGAATAAATTTAACTAAAAATGCCTGACCACTAAGTAAATTTTGAATAATTTCTATCAATCACCAATATATGAAGACTCCTCTAATTGATGTAAGTGTTTTTAGTTTCACTATAAAATTATAACATATGTTATATAGAACATACAAAAGTTAAATGTCACATTAAACTATTTTGGGAGCATAACTCATCTTTACAAACACATATAGAAAGGATTACCTTTTCACCAATTTCTCCTTTGATGCCTTCAAGTCCTTGTTCTCCCTGTAAAAGAAGAGCATGGTGTAAACTAATAAGAATAGTACTTACAGTTCATGGAAATTTTAATAATAATAGCGATATTTCTAAGAATAAAATCAGTGATTTAAATCATTTCTTGGGATATGAAGTTCTAAGTCAATATTAAACAACACAAAGTCTGAATAATACAAAATACTCAAGGAAAAGCTTTTTGGATACTTCCCTACCTTCTAGAAAAATCTCATCCCCCTAAAGCCACACACGCTGCATGTTAAGCACCTGAGTATGGTACCATCTAGATTTGCTTTGAGAATTGAATTAAGCAGTGCAGACCAACTTTGCCATTCTCGCTGTCACTAGCATCTCATTAAATGCAGAAGACAGACTTCTCTGAACCCTACCTTCCACATAAGTGTCTAATAAGAGGTTCATGATGAGTAGGTTTAGAATTGAACCTTAGAGCCCAACCCCTCTCCCCCAGCCTGCAGCCCCAGGCTCCTCTCTGTTCTGCTCATGTGACTCACAGTCACAAAAAGAGCTGTTCTCTATGCCATCCTTTAAATCTAAAAAGTACAAGTCCCCCCCATCCCGCCCGGCTGAATCCTTTCTAATTTCATGTTCATTTTCTGATTTAATTTGTCATAGATAGATTGATGACATTACCATCAAACTTTTAGTAAACACTCACTGAGAGCCTCCTACATGTCAGGGACCTATGGTTGCATAGCTGGGAGGTGAGTGTGAGAGAGGGGTTTTGTCTGCAGTTCCCTCACTGGGGATCATGGCATAAAGCATCCAGCCAGTATCTTCCTGGGAGACCCACATTTGAAGCCAGGCGGTAGTGGCACACGCCTTTAATCCCAGCACTCGGGAGGCAGAGGCAGGTGGATCTATGTAAGTTCGAGGTCAGCCTGGTCTACAGAGCAAGTTCCAGGACAGGTTCCAAAGCTACACAGAGAAACCCTGCCTCGAGAGAGAGAGAGAGAGAGAGAGAGAGAGAGAGAGAGAGAGAGAGAGAGAGAGAGAGAGAGAGAGAGAGAGAGAGAGAGAAGAGAGACACCACTATTTATGTTTAAGTTATTTAAGAAAAGATATTGTGCAGACCAGTCTGCCCTTGAGTTCACTATGTAGCACACAATGGCCTTGAACTCCTGATCCTGCTGCCTCCATTACAGAAGCGCTGGGATAACAAATAAATACATGCCACCATACCTAGCTAGAGATGAAAAGTTTCTGATCTCAGCTTACTGCCTCCATAAAGTGGTGCATGATATAATTAAAATCCACATGTATTATATAGATTAACTCACTCTTATTATCTATATATAGAAAATGTGTCAGTATATCAGCATTTGCATATAGTTAAGTAAACATATATAATGTGTGTAGAAACACGATTAAATAATTATTTCCTGCTTCCTTTGTTCTCAAAACATTATCAGCAAACAATAGATTAGTTCATAGGTATTTTATCACTGATGCATGGGCCTACCTTTCTTTAAATAGTGTTTCCCCTAAAATTTAACTCCATCTGGTAATTCAAGCTGACATCGAAGCTGCTAAATGCCCCTAGCGCACTGGCCACGACGTCAGCGTGATGCAGCCACCACAACAGCTGCTGGAAAGTCCAAAACCATTTCCCAGCAGATAAATCTGCACATCCCTTGGCTTGTAACTCAGCTCACAGATGCAGCACATGCTGTACCAGTGGGGTTTGTCTAGAGCTGCTGTGAAGAGACTCGGGAGCGTGCGGTTTCACAGCTCCCAGTCCAATCTTGCTATCTCTATGGGGCTATGTAAAGAAACATTTTTTTTTTTAAGCTGGAACTATAAATGAAAGTATATCTTTTCAAATGACATTTCCAGCTATGGAAAAAACAAAACATAGATGCATAGCAGCTTCAGACATTTTGTTATTAAAACCTGCAACGCTTCGCCACAACATGTTTGGCTTTGGGGCACATCTAAAATTGCATCAATAATGCTCTCCCCTGTGGTGGGATTGTCTGGGCTGTACCATGGCAGCTGGCCCCACCTGAAGTGACTCAGGAATCTGGAGTATATTAGTTTCTGTGCATCCAGTAGTGCTTGGCACGTGGAGTTGAGCTTGTTCCCAGAGAGAGAATGCAGTCCTTGGACAGGTAGTAAAGGATGCAGAGGAACTTCATTTTGGTGAAGAGAAAGCTGTCAGGCACAGGAAGACTTACCCTGGAAGGTGAAAAACTTCTCCTTCATCGTGAATATGAATGTACCATTCTGAAGGGTTTTTTTTTTCTTTATAGGAGATTGAATCTATAGCCTCATACAGGCTAAGCAAACACTCTGCACTGAACTATCCCTCCAGCCCTCTTTTGGCTTTTCATTTTGTGGCATGATCTCACTAAGTCGTCTGAGCTAGCCTTGGACTCAGTGTATAGGCTGGCAGGCTGTGAACATGCAATATTCCTGCTTCAGCCTCCTGAGTAGCTAGGATTGTCGGTCTGCACTGCCAGGCAAAAAGCAGAACGGTGTGTTTTGAAGAGCTTGGTCGTGTGTGATCCTTGTACTGTTAGATATTTGGTGTCATTATAAGCATTTTGCTTAACCTAACCGGAGGAGCACAACACTTTCAAATATGGAATAACAGTGGAAGACACTGTTCCGTTGCTCACTCTGATTGATAAGTCAACATGTTCCCGGTGTAGCCATAACACCTCTGTGGCCCTTAGAAGGCATCACTACTGATTCTTCAGGAAGGCATGCTGTTAACACCCTGGAACAAATGTTTCCTTGAGAGGTCTCCCAGAAGGAAGTGCTTCTTTGAGGCCTCTTTGGAAAGACTGGTTTATTAGCTTAGTTTGTGGGAAACATTTATAAAAACCTATTACCTTTTGACCAAGTAAGCCTGGAATACCATGTAAGCCATTTTCACCCTAAAAAGAGTAGCCAAAATAAATCTCATTAGTCACAATGATACCAAAAAAGAACCCCCTCCACACACGCTCACACCTTTTTTGTTTGTTGGTTGGTTGGTTGGTTGTTTTGTTTTTGTTTTTGTTTTTCCAAGACAGGGTTTCTCTGCTGCCCTGGCTGTCCTGGAACTCGCTTTGTAGACTAGGCTGATCTTGAACTCACAGAGATCTGTCTGCCTCTGCCTCCCAGGTGTTGGGAAAGCTGTAGTGTTATGAGGACAGGTAACTTTTTTCTGGATAGCTGTCACATGTAGGGTCTTCCAATTTTCTGTCATGTCCCAACTCCAGGACAATCATCTCAAATTTTAAGGTAGAGGAATGGGGGCTCTGAGATGTTAAAGTGCCAGTCTCGGGGTTATCCAACTTATAATATCACCTGAGATGTCTAGTGTGTGCTTAATGATTCCACAGCCTATGTATTCCATTCTTCCTTCCTCCCTCTCTTTGTTTCTCTCTCTCTCCCTCCCTCCCTCTCTCTCTCTCTCCCTCTTCTTCCTTCTTTCTTTCTTCTGTCCTTCCTTCTTTTCTTTCTTTCTTCCTTTCTTCCCTTCCCCTTCCTTCCTTTCTTTATCCTGGCTTCTCTGGGCATATTAATAAATGCTTTTTATGGAGTAGGCATTGTTTCCTGAACAAACATCAGAAAGCTACTACATAGATAGGTACACAGTGACTGGACCTCAAACTCTTGCCCTTCAGCTGTGGCCAGTGTCCTGCTTCTCTACATGGTCTCTGGCAACCGGTTTAATTGTGGCTTATGTGTCTTCTTACCTAATATGAGATATCATATATGCACATATGCAGATTCTTATCACATAATGGACATGCTTATTTCCTTATCTGTATCTGTTGACTGCTGTGAGGTCAATTCTGAAGTCAATTCTGCATGAGACAGTTCCCTTTCCGCTTGTCTGGCTCCTGTCATGGGCATGAACATTTTCAGCAGATGCCGATCATGTTCCATTACTGGAATTCTTGGTCATTGCACTGACAAGTCTGCTCTGTGAACAGCACACCAGCTAGAAAGAGATACTCCACGGGGGATGTAGGCATTCTCAGTAAACCCTTGGGCATATACTTCGGTCTAGGAATTCACCATGGCTCCCACCTGTCCAGATTCAGGCAACTCAAAATAAGCTAACAATGCTACGATCTGCTCTATCGCTGTGAAATATTTATAAAATTCACTTAATATTAGTTTTTGAGCATTATTGAAAATGCAGTATCATTTCTAAGAATTATGAAGGAAGTTTAAGTATATTATGAAGAACATATCTTTGAAATTTGAAATAACAATGAAATACTCTGCCTAAATGTTGAGATCTTAATTTTTATTACTAATACATTTTTGGAAAGTTTTACTATTTCTTTTTTTTTAAGCCAGAGTGTACTGCCATATACATGCATTATTTTAAGACCTAAGGTTTTTCTTTGTTTAGATTAAATTATCAAAGTATTCTATAGTGTAGCTGCTGTTGGCATAGTAAGCAGAAAATTTGGCTGTGATATGTAATTACATGTGGAAGCATCAAAAAACAGCACAATTATCAGTGTACTAAGTATTTTTACCACTTAACAGTTATTACGGTTCTTGGCCCTAGGCACCAGGCAAGACTAGTAGAAAGCCGCAGTAACATCTGATAAAGAGATAACGAAATCGCATTAAGTATCTGACGCCAAGAACATTCTATGGAAATGAGCTTCTATTACTCATCACTGAAGTATGTCCACTTGTCCCTAAGAAGCAGATTATTTTCCTCGGTGGATCCGATATAATATTTTATATCATATTGCAAGTTACTCAAGATAACAAGATACAGCATAAAATCCACTAAAGTACAATAATATGGTATTTACCCCGAACCCGAGCAGCCCGTTTCGGAGAAAAGAAAGTGGTGAGAGTTCTTCCTCTCTTCTTGCTAGCAGCCAACTTTTACAAATCATGTTCCCAGAGTGCTGGCATGGGTGTGTCTTTAGTTGATGTTTTGTGATTATTGTAGTTAAAATATGGTGTTCCCCCATGGCAAGTGTTAATTGATCTCTCCTCTTTCCCTACTTAGCGATTTAAAATCACTTCTAATTGTCTTCAATCCAACAGAGCAGTGTGAGCATAATTGTTCCCATCGCTATCTCAAAAAAAGGGTGGTGGGGGGAACATATGAATCACCATAAAAACTTAAAAGGACATAGTTCAAGCATGCTAATGACAATTGTTGATTCTGTAAAATTTTATTTAAAACGTCTATGCCAAGAGCAGCAATCCTTTCATTCTGAAACATGGGAGAAAAGCCCACAGATGTGCAGGCAGTCGGGGTAAACCCAGTTTTACTTACAAAATCAGTACTTGCCTAACACTACTGGAAAAGCACATGTCTGTTTTACATGTGTGTGTATGGTGTATGTTTCTGAGTTCCTGCTTTCTTTTTCTACCAGTATCATCCTAAAGAAGGCATAAATGCTTCTCTTTTATCTTTTTTTTTTTTTTTTTTTTTTTTTTTTGGTTTTTCGAGACAGGGTTTCTCTGTGTAGCTTTGCGCCTTTCCTGGAACTCGCTTTGGAGACCAGGCTGGCCTCGAACTCACAGAGATCCGCCTGGCTCTGCCTCCCAAGTGCTGGGATTAAAGGCGCGCCACCACCGCCCGGCCTCTTTTATCTTTTAATCAAGATTTTAGTTCAGTATTGGAAAAAAATACCATCAATAGTTTCAAAGAAATCATACCTTTCAAAACTTATTTCTGAGGACATTCTTTTTAATACAGTCCTTTTAATTCCTGAAACACACATGGTGTGAGGAGAGAATTGACTCCCAAAAGTTGTCCTATGACCTCCCCGTGTGTACCACTCACAACTGAACACACATTCTTCCCAAATTAAATAATACATAAACTGTATTTGTACACCAAATATCATTATAAGCTTCTAATTAACTTTTTCTGTCTGATTCACACTATGGAGCACAAATAAAAAGCAATACACGTATGCTTATCGAATTAAAGCTTTCTGAACCTAAAATCCTGCCCACTAGTTTCATTTCTGTTATCTTAAATTATGGGAGAAAAAAAAATCTTCTGGATCTTATATATAATATCCATTTGGGTCAATATCAAGGCTTCCATTCAGCAAACCATTAGCAATAGTTTGGAGTCTTCATATTATGGTCCTGCTCTCTGGGTATACATTAGCCAGTCAATACATCTCTTAAAATGTAGCTTTCAAAACTCAGTATATTGTGTCAGAAATGGTCCCACACAGAACACAAAGCAAGGCCAGAAGCCACACACACACACACACACACACACACACACACACACACACACACACACACACACATTCACTCACTCACTCACATATGCACACACACATACCATACTGTTTTGGATGCTAAAGTGTGCTTCTGTTAGTATAGTTTGCTTCTAAAAATGTGTTTGCATATACTGAGTTTGTATCCAAGTATAAGCACTACTAATATTTCCTTTCAAAGGAAAAAATTGTGTTTCCAATCCTTTTTCAAATTAGACAAATGTAAGTTATATTGAACTTTAAAAAGAACTGAACAATTTAGAAATTATTTGTGGAAGTAGTAAAAATTTCTTCCCATACCTAGTGAAATTAGGGAGACCGGGACTTTTGTCAGATCTTATAAAAATCTTGGATTTCATGAAATTGATATGATGTTTTTAAAGTGGGTCTGTCAGAAACAAAGATTGGGGCTTATTATATCGTCCAATACAAGTTAAAGACCGTCTCCATAAATTTGAAACTGCAAAACCCTGGTAGGGAAATCAAGACATTTAATCTGAATCATCTACTAAAAGATCTGATGCGTGGTCACTGACACTGGCATCGCTGCGGTCCACCAAGTGAAAGATGATTTAAGATATAGAGCGCAGTGCCACCAGGCAGCTCCTAATTGAGGACAGTGAGACACCAGTCACTGCAAGCCATTTCCTGTCCAGAGTATTCCTCGTGATGAGTAATTTATAGTGTGACTCCGGATCAGTTACCTCTACTAGAGCTTAGCCGTGCCAAAGCCACCAGTTAACTTAGTTTCAGCCTTGCAGTAAATGATCATGGAGCCTGGGAGGATGAAAATTTCCTAGCAACGATATAAGAAACTAAGGAGATTTTCAGTCTGAGACTGGGTGAAAAGAAAGCTGGACAATGAAGACAGGCACTGCTTAAGCGAGCAGGGAGGGCAGGTGATGAGGAAACGGGAAGCAAATTCTGGAGCTGTACGCACTGTCCCTATTACATTTTGTTCTAGGAAGCAGCACTTCTAAGCTTTGCTAGGGAGAGTAGAGAGTCTCCTTCCCTACTACTTCCCTGAAATTTGCGTCTGCATAAAGCCTTGGGAGTTCTTACTAATGCACCTTCCCCACTCATCCTTCAACATAGTTGTCTAACAGTTGTCTTTTATTTCCCTCTGGTACTCTGGGGCTAAGTTTCCTTGAGTTCTTCATAATTCAGCTCGCACTTATGAAGATTCTATCCTCTGTTGGTCCAAGCGTAGGCATCACAGAGATGAGAGAAACAATGATTCCACCTATTCCAGGAGCTCCCAGGGATATAGATGCAGAAATATCGGTGATGTAAACAAAGTACTATGTGAGGAGAATGGAGGAGCTTTCACGTTGGCTTACTGGACCAAAGGGTTTCATAAAAAGCTGCGTGAACTTTGAATGCAGTAATCTGTGATAATGACGGGAAAGGATCCAAATATCAATCATCTGAATTCATCTTCAAAGTCTTTCAAATTTACCTGACAGCTTTACCTAATTGTATGGTGGTACAATTCACCCTGGCTTGGCTGGCTGAAAGATGCTTCTGATGCAGTCACTTCAAGAAAACTGTACTATTTAAAGTCATAGACGTCTTAGACAACAGCATTTTTTTCTTTAAATCCACTCTTCAGTATATCAGTAATCTACACCAAGAATAAGGTAATTAGCCACTAAGCTATGTAA